GCCGACTGGGGGGTGTAGGCTGACATATGGGGAGGACCCCAGATTGGGAGATGCTGGAATGGAGCATCCTGGAAGAGGGCAGGTAACGGCCAGCTGCAGGCGCAATATTTCACCCAGAAGGTGCGATATTTCGTTGCAAGCCCAGCCTACTTTTCCCGGTGCTGCTGCTACCCGATTTTTTAGGTAACCACGCCAGAGTTCAGCCAGGGTTGGCCAGGCCCCTCGGGGGGCCCACAATGCAACAGGGGCCGCCTGACAAGGGAAGGGCCCCCCAGTTCAGCGCCTCCTCTTCGCCACTGTGACCTGCTTGGTGGCTTGCCTTTCGCTCTGGCCCAGGCAGCGGAGGTGGCGAGGAGGAGGAAGGAGAGATGCTCTGGTGTGCTTGCTCTTTCCCTCTGAAAGCTCCCGGTCCAGCAAGCACCTGGGACCCAGCGGGAGGAAGAGGAGGAGGGTCACCAGCCGCGGGGAACCACGGCCGCGAGCAGGGGGCCCGTGGAGGGCGTCGTGCGGAAGGGCCCTCCAAAGCATGGAGCTGGCTCGAGTCCAAGACCTCCTCCATGCAGGCCACGCGCTCAGGGGCCGGAGCATCCCAAGGCCATTGCCCTGACTTTCTGCCTCTTTTACACTTCGGACGCTCTTCTCGCCGCAAGTTGCGTCCACCGGGGGGGGGGGGGCTTGTGTGTCTCCAAAAATGAGGCGCAAGAGTCCATGGATCCGCATAAAATCTAAAGATGCGCACATACCAATATTAACCTTTCCCCTGTCCTACTAAAGGCCCGGTGTGACTTGTTCCATCTACCGCCCAACCGTTGTTGATCCACCCTGCAAGGCCCTTTCGCTCTTCCTTCCGGAACTTCTTCCCCCTTAAACCAAACCTGGACTAAACAGCCCTCCAAGGAAAGGATGCCTTTAAAACAGCACATGCGCCCCCCCCCTCACCTCCACCCCAGGCCCCCAATTTCCTGCAAATGTTGCTGTTGGTCCATAACAGAAATCTGCCTTTCATTATGCAAAGGGGTTTGGATAAATATATATACCCGCTGCTAATTATCCATGGAGTAATTTTCTTGCACTCTGGAATGGCCTGGTATGCAGCTACGGACGCGGTTTTTCGATTATTTCTGTCTCTCCGGGTGGACTATAACGAAAGACTGGTCTCGGACCACCAAGCCCTGTCATTAGGGGGAGAGGCCTCTCGGCACATCCGTTCTCCAGCTTCCTTGGCCCGCTGCGGATTGTCCAGCGTGGCAGTGGAGGCGGAGGGAGGGGCCACGAGCCCCCACCTCTGTGCGGGAGGCCGAGCTGCCAAGCCATGCCTGTCATCATTCATATTTCTCAGACTTCGGGTGATTACACCAGAATTTTGCTGAGCAAGCCTTTCTTTAAAGGAGCTGTAGTCTTTTGCATGGAGAAGGTGAGCGGAAAAGTCATTTCAAGCACGAGAAAGGGGCTTTTCGCCTGTCCTTTTCCAGGCCAGCCAGGCATTCTTTCAGTCCGGTCAGGGCTGCCATACTGCAGCCACATCTGTGGGTCTCTGCACCCCAAGTCTGTGTTCCTACAGGAAATAAATGCAGCTCAGCGACAAGCGGCTGCTTTGCATGAAAAGGCTCTTGGCTACAAGTCTGGGCATCTGCGGGAAGAGCCCGGAAGGGCTTCTGCCTCGACAGCCAGGGAGTGGCCGCCGGTCAGCCACAAGCCCGACAAGTTTTCAGCCAGCTTCCCATGACTTCTTCAAAACTGTCCTTCTACCAAAAATGTCCGTTTCTTTGCTCTCCACTATACACCATTTAAATTATTATTTTCGGTTATTATTTTTCAGCTTCCATGATTGCTGCAAATGGGTTTTTAGTCTCTTCTCAGCTTCCATTGTTCCCACCAATATTACCTCTACAATATCTCATTTCTTTCACTTTTAAAGTGGGCTGTGATTTGAGCAAGTTTATTTTTTTCAAAAAAGACAAGCTTGGAAACTTGCATAAATTGTGGGACGTAAAATTTGCGCAAATGTCCTGCATCTTCCTTAGTTAACTCAAGCAAATCGTGGCGGGTTTAAAAGTGAAAATCAATGTGCTGCCTCTACCCACATCAAACCAAGTTGGCCCCTGTGTGGGGGAAATGGGATAGAATCCAGAGCCAGAAAAATCTGATCAATTTTCACCCCCAAATAGATCCCTCATATACTCCTAACTCTGACCAGAAGATCACGTCCAACGTTCCATCTTATTTCACATAAGGAGTTCGGTCCTTTTAAAAAAATGCATTCTGTGCATATGTACTTTTCTTGCATGCCAAATAAACAGAAATATCCATGCAAGAAGCTAAAGATTGCAAGCATAATGTGCATAAGTTGGAGCAAGCTTCAAGATGGAATTCGGAGAACTTCAAAGAGCTGGAATTTTGTTCTTCCCCCATCCTTACATGTCATTAATGCACATGGTTTAGCCCTCCTGGGACTATACCTTTCCCAGAACAGGGTGAGGAAGGTCACATAAAAACAGAGAAGGCAGAGGAGCTGCGGCCCGTCTACTTGCGAGCAAGCGTCAGCCTGGGTCATGGCTAGCATTTGTGACCAAGCAACATCTCGCTTTGCTGGGATGTTTTTTTGGTGCCTATTTGGATATTCGTATTATTGGGCATTATTTATTATTATTGGGCATTTTGGAGGGCATCCGTTTATAGGGTTGCAAACAACTTGATGGCACCCGACAAGTTTATTGTCCTTATTCTCTTTTGTCCAGTCTTTCTAAGGATTATTACGGATTGTTTTGCCTTTGCACACAGTGTGAGATGTTTCGCTTACAAGTTCCCCGCTCAGCCATGGAGCCAACTGGGTGACTTTGGGCCAGCCACAGACTCTCAGCCCAACCCACCTCACAGGGTTGTTGTCGTGGGGATACGATGGAGGAGGAGAATGATGTAAGCTGCCTCGAGCCCTTTTGTAGGAAAAAGGCAGGATATAAATCAAAAAATAAAGATAAATAAAAATTCCAGTGATCTTTATGACTTGTAATCATTAATGAACTTTAAGGAATTGTTGCTGCATTTTATCGCATCCTTCCTTTTCTGATGTTGCTGTAAGACGGTTTGGGCGTGGTGGAAAAGCATCCTGCAAATAAGGTGATGCAGGTGAGCTGGTTGGAGACCACCGATCACCCTCCTCCTGCCCATTCCGGTACGGATCCCATCGCCAGAGCAGCGTGCGGTCTGCAAAACGGCCGGCTGGAAGCTCCAGGCGCCACATCGCTGGATACGGGGCACAAGAGCAGTCCGTCGGTTCAGCGTCCGGCTTTTGGTTCAGCGGCTGCTGGGAACCACCGCGCTGCAACGGCAACCCTTCGCCGGACCTGGACCGCCACTTCTTCCGCTCATATTCCACCCTGTGTGCATAGGATGGCGACCACCGTTCAGGAAGCTCATTGTTCAAACAACTTCCTTGCAACTGGAAGGAGGAACCTCCTGGTGGGAGATGGAGCTCCGTACTCAAGCGGGGGCCAGCTCGCCTTTCTGGGGGCAGAATTCGTGCAAAGCTCCTCCATCACCACCATCCATGTACCATTGAGCTTGGTGGTATTAGGAAGGCACAGAAATGCGGTGCTTGAAGTGCACTTCTATATGACTGTGGAGTAAGATCTTGTGCAAAGTAAGATCTTGTGCAAATTATGCAGCCCAAACTCGTTTCCTGTTGAGCATCGATTTCTCAGGAAGCGTGTGAAGAGGAGCATGGAGGTGCGGCATCTCTGCACTGGGGAAGCCCAATCTGCCCCCTCCTGTGTTGTCTGTTTTGCTTTTGTGCTCCTCAGAAGAGTTGCAAAAAATCCACACACACTGTACTGTTCTGGATTTGTTGCCACTGAGTTTAGGTGGGAGCAGATGGGAAATGAAGAAGCAGTAACTATCCATCCGGTTCTGGTGCTGGTACTATGAAACCAGCGAGCCTCTGGAAAATACTGATGTTAGGCCTGGACTATGTAAGGCCACCCTACCAAAGAACTTCTGGTTCTCTGTGCAAACTGATAATATATGTTTATATTCTAGCATAACTTGCCTCCTAAGGCCCCTGGTTAATTATTTGGTTGCAAAAATAATCAGGGATGAAGAAGCAACAGCAAACACAATTTAAAAAAAGAATTAAAAGGATCCCAAGTAAAGAAGCAATCTTCTCTACCAATGCTCATAAAAACAAGCGCTACGGAGTGGTCTCCTCCCCATGTCCTACTCCTTCAGGACATGTATCCCATCAGCCACGGCACCTGAAATCCAATCCTAAGGTGCATCATTCTCTCCTGACATCAGGTGGCTGTTCCCTTAGTCCACCCATAGCGGCTGAACAGCTGGAGCGGCTCCTGCAGCAGGGGACTCTGTGGGATTTCGCATCCCAGGACCATGGAAGCCACGATCCCGGGTTCAGACAACTGGGAGGCCACAGGGGTCTGGAGAAACCATAGAACAAACCATTCACAACGGTCTTTTCAGGAGCAGAGCCCACCTCTGCCTTGCGTTTCGGCTCCCCTCTGGCCTCACCAGCCGCCTCCTGGGCGAGGAACAGCTCGGAACTGGAATGCCCGCCACAGCAGCCGTTACGGGTGGGCACCCTCCCCCATGGCAGCCATTTTGTGAAAGCGCCCGCGAGCCTTTTCCAAAACTCCAGAAGGGCCTTTGGCCCGAAATGGGCGGAGGCGCCCCCGTCTTCACGGGGGTCTCCGGCCGAGAAACGCGCTCCAGCGAACACGGGGATGGGGCGCGCTGCTCCGGAGCGCCTCTCCCGCCGGGACGGCGCCGCGCCCCCTGCATCTCCCTCGGGCACGGAGGGAAGGGGGCGCGCGGGGGAAGCCAGCCGGCCGGCCGTAGGACCCCGCAGGGCCGGCAGCCGCGGGAGGGCCGCGCTCGTCCGCCGCAAGGACGCCTCCGCCGCGCGCCCCGCCCGCGCGCCCGCGCGCCCGCCCGCCCGAAAAACTTTCCAGAAGTTTCTCCGGCGGCTTATATAGCCCCTCCTGCGGGCGGCGGCGTCGCAGACAGGCAGCCCGTCTCGGAGGGCGCAGCCCGGCAGCTCGAGGTGGGTGCGGAGCGCTCCGGCGGCGCGGCGCTGCGCTGCGCTGCGCGGGCCGGGGGGCGCCTCCTCGGGGGTCGCGGCGGGGCTTGCAGCGCGCCTCCTCGGGGCGGGCGAGCGAAGAGCGCGGCGCCCGGGCCACGCGTGGGGCGGCCCGGCCG